CGCGCCGCGGACCCGGGGCCCGCACCCTCCGCGCGTCCGCACCCTGGCCGTGCTTGCACACGAACGCCAGGCACAGTGCACGCAGGGCGCCCTTGTCCGGCCCAGCCACTCCGCGCACTGCGCATCGCCTCGCGCCCGCACGCCCGCACGCCCGCCCGCGTGTGCATACACGCGGTTCACCCTATTTACACGCCTCCCCTGAGCCCGCGCGGCATGCACGCCCCTCACTTTCACACTCAGCGTCCTAACCGTTCTCACTACCCTTGCCCGAGCTTTGTAACCTCTAGGGGCTCAGGGTCAGGCCCTCCCCTTCCCCCAAAAGGGGAGGGAGCTCCCTCAGACCGAAATGCCTGGTCTGCAGGAACTGTTCTGCTCAGTTAGGAGCGTAGCACCTCATCCCCGGGAGGCCCTGGGCTATGGGAAGAGCCAGAGAAGCACCCTCACCTCCTGAAGGCTGCAGATTTGGACAGAACATGGGGACTGGGAGCAAGGTGTGTGAGTGGAGGGCCCCTGAGCCGACCATCCTGGCAAGCCCTGTGCTGCAGAGCAATTGTGTGCCCTCTCCTCAGTCAAGGAGTCCACCTCCGGCTAAGTAGCCCATCTCCAGCTAAGCAGCGTGTCAGCCTCTTTGAGTGGGCGCGGGTCTGGAGAGTGACAGCAGTAGGACTTCCAATTAGAAATAGGGAAACTGAGGCCCTGGAAGGGCAGGAGACCCACCGAAGTTAACAAAGAAGAGCCAGGACAAGTATTCACACCCCGCTGCCTCCCCACTTGGAAATACAAAACCTTTCTGGAGCGCTCAGGGTTATAGGGGCCCCTGGCCTGGGGTCTCAGCCTGAACTCTGTCCCTACAGCTCCCTATGACTATGGCAGAGCCATTTCCTGGGCCTGGCTTTTCTTAGCAGTACAAGGTCCCAGAGCAGCAGCCCCCCAAAGGCTTGTAGGCAGGATGCACAGAGGTCACAGAAGCAAGTCCCTGGTACGATGCCTGGCACACAGTAGGTGCTCAGTGTCAGCCACCACCAACCTCCAGCCAGTCTGTACTGTGGCTTCTGTGGGCTGTTTGGAGGATGGCATCAGGATGTGGTCATCTTGAAAGTGTTGGGGTGGGGGAGGCACTCAAAGGGGTTATCAGACCTACAGGTCCTAAAAACAGACTTGCAGCCTGGAAAACTGAGGCTCCCCTGTACCCATCACTTTGACCCTAGTCTTTCCCATTACCTGCTGGCCTCAGAGTGGGGGCAGGGGGAGCCAACCCCTTGCTGCCCAGAGACGTGTTGAAGAAACTGTGCAAAGAGATGGGGTAGATGGGGATGCTCCTCCTCTGACAAGGTACAGAATTCCTGGAAAGCTGTTTTTTCTGACAAGCCTAGAAGGGGGCCTCTACCTTGGTCAGAATCCAGCAAAGCCAGGTGGGGTGTGCCACCCCCCTTGCTGCCACCACCGCAGGCCTGATCAGAAGTTAGCATGGTGGTCTAGAGTCCCCCAGGTCCATCCCTCCCTGGCACAGAGCACAGTGTTGCTATTCATAAACCAGGAGCCCCAAGGCCCCCGCTTCCTCATCTGTAGAATGGGATCCAACAATCCATTGAATCACTAGGTCTGCAGTAGGTGCTTACAGTGTACCAGGCATGGTGCTAAGCTCTTAGCACATATTGTATAGAAACAGCAGTGGGAAGTTTTGCTAGATAGGGACTATTTTTTTTTTTTTTTTGGTTTTTCTTCGGTACCGGGAACTGAACTCGACCTTGCGCTTGCCAGGCAGGCGCTTTGCCACTGAGCTAAATCCCCAGCCCCCTAGATAGGGACTATTGAGCTGGAATTTGGGGAGCTGTTGCCAGTGAGCAAGCTCCATGCAGTGTAGACCAATGGACTGAACGTGGGGGCGGGGGGCTGAAGGAGGGGAAGGTGCAGTCTTAGCTCTGATGCCTGTGCTCTGTTCATTCCTGTGTGTCACCGGCTGCCCTACCTCCAATATGCCTCGTCAGCATCCTGTCCTAGCTGAAGCCACAATCTGAAAGACCTCCGGGTCACTAACAGGAGCCCAGAGAGGTTGCCTGGGGCGAGTGGAGCCAGGGGGGCTCAGGGAGAATGAGGAAAGCCACCAAGGGCGTTTGCTGCAGGGGCAGACCTGGCTGGGTCTCAGCTCCTCACTCATCAGCTGGGTGACCTTGGGCCAATTCACTGTCCTCTGAGGCTCCCTTTTCTTCTCTGTGAAGTGCAGATAATAACACGTTTGACCCAGAGGGGTCTGGGGAGTGGTGATGGTGATGGTGATGGTGCATGTGAAGTTCCCTGCTTGGGGCTTTTGCTGCCAGTGGGACAGGTGCTGGGTGGGGTGGCAGGCGCCACCGCTGCTGGCTTTGAGCAAATCATTTAACCTCTCTAAACCTCTCCTCGTGCATCCCAAACCACCTCACCAGCTCAGGAGCAAAGATGCTTTCAAGACGCAGTGGGTTCTGAGAATGAATGAAGGATGGGAAAGACCAGATGTGAATCCAAAATCAAAAATGTCTGCACTCCATTTCCTCTTCCTAGAGGAAAAGGCAGAGCCTGCTTTAGCCCCAATGTTTACTATTGTTGGGAGAAAGGATGCAGACCCATTCTCCCCAGATTTTAACTTTTCAAAAGAAGCTGGAAATCCTTTTATCTTGGGAGGGGGCTGTTGAGACAATGATCTCACTATGTAACCCGGAATAGCCTTGACTTGCAATCCTCCCACCTCAGCCTCCCAAGTGCTGAGGATAGGTGTATACCACCACACCTGGCTTGGAAATCTGTGTGTGTGTGTGTGTGTGTGTGTGTGTGTGTGTGTGTGTGTGTGTGTTATGCTGTTCTGTGGTGCTGAAGATCAAACCTAGAGCCTCACACTTCCTAGACAAATGTTCTACCACTGAACTACATTGCCAGGCTTTTTATTATAATCTATTTTAATTGGAAATTTCTCATTTTAAAAATTTAATTCAAATATTAGCAAATAAAACACATCCACTGGCTGGCAGCACAATCTACATGTTTGCACTGCTTGGGGCCCTTTCATGGTCAGCCCAATAACCACAGCAGCTACTATTTGCCAAGTCCTGTCATACTCACCTTCTCACTCCACCCTCCTTGCACCCTCCCAGGACAATCCTGAGCCCTTTTCACAGATGGCACAACTGAAACTGAGGGGGAATAAAAAATTTGCCTGAGGCTACTTGAGCCAGGAAAGGGGCAGATCTGGGGTTCAGAGCTGGGGCAGCTAACTGTACACACTGGGTGCAAACTGACACCCTGCAGGAGCCTCCACGTCTGCCCTCCCACTCATCCAGATGTGCCCTGGCTCCTAACCCTTCACAGTGGACCACAGAGAGAACTGTGCCTAGCAGACATTCACACCTTCCCCAATCACAGCTCTCAGCAGATGGGTGCTGTGATAGGGAAGTGTTTCAGATTCTGGGGAGTAGGGGCCCCCTGAGAACCAGAGATGTGACACCGCCTGAGCTTCTGCCCTGCGGCGTGCATGCTGTGCTGTGGCAGGGGTGTGTGTGGGGTGTGCCTTGCCACATGTCCCTTACTAGCATGCTGCTGGCATTGGCTGTCTCAGCTTGGCCTCTCTTGCCAAACCAGTTCGTGCTTGGTAAGCAGGAAAGAATGCTGATGGCATTGCTGGATTTCCAGGAAGGCAGAGGCTGGCTGGAGTGTGTGTTCATGTTGTGTTTCAGTGTGTCTGGACGGCAGCCACCAGAGGATAGGGCCGCTTTGGGCTTACACCCAGTGAGTGACCCATTTGACCTGAAATTCTTAGGCAACGTTTCTGAACATATGCAGTAAGACAAATTGGCTAGAAGCTGGGAGCCAGATGACTTGGGTTGAACGGTTATTAACCATATGGCCTGGGGCAAATTACTTTAACTTCACACCGGCACTCTCATCTCCAGACCAGACATATTAACAGTGCCAACCTCAAAAGATGGTTATGAGGGTTAAATGAGTTTACATGTATGCAAAGTCCTCACAATCGAGCTTAGTGCATAAGAAGTACTTGGGCTCTTCTTATCTCAAGGGCTATTATTATCTCAAGCCTAGGGCCCAAGGATGCTCATCCTCTCAAGTAAGGATGGGTGAGGCATCCTGGTTGCCTGCCTCCCGTCACCATAGCAACCCTCATCTCATCTTGGGAGAGGGCAACATCAGGAGAGCAGGAGCCAGGAGCTGTCTGTGTACCCTTACCTATCTGCCTTAGGGCTTAATGGCACCTCTATATGGGCTGGATACTAAGCACCCCAACTTCTTGACTCCAAAGCCACAGATTAGAGAGAACCTCAGAATTCCTAAAAATGCCCAATGTCTCAGCTTCACCCTTTAGCTGATCCCAAACGAAGCCTATGGAGTACTTAGGAAATGATGAGCCACAGCCCACCAGCCTTTTACAACGCACCTGGACAGAGTGTGCACTTTTTTTTTTTGTTTTGGTCTTTTTGAGACAGGATCTCGCTACGCAGTTCAGGCTGGCCTTGAGCTCACTTTGTAGTCCAGGCTGGTCTCAAATTTGCAACGATCCTCCTGTCTCAGCCTCCCAAGTGCTGGGATTACAGGTGTGCACCACCACGTCCAGCTTCACTTTTTGTAAATTGGTTGCAACATATAAAAACCAGGAAGCCCAGCTGGGTAATGCAGGTCCATAATCCCAGCTACTCAGAAAGCTGGGGTGGGAGGATCATATGAGCCCAGGAGTTCAAGACCAGGGTAACATAGTGAAACCCTATCTAAAAAACTAAATAAATGAAAATTAAAAAGAAATAAAAATTAGAAAGTCCACATTTAAAATACAAGTGCCAAAAAAAAAAAAAAAAGTGTCTGGATGTGGTGGTACATGCCTGTAATCCCAGCACTAAATCCTCACTCCTAAAATCCCAGGCTGAGGCAGGAGGTTCACAAGTCTGAGCCCCAGGCTAAGCAACTTAGAAAGAACCTGTCTAAAAATAAAAAATTAAAGATCTGTCTAAAAATAAAAATTGCAGATGCCCTGAGTTCAATCCCCACTACCACCAAAATAAATAAAATAGAACAAAACAAAACAAATCCAAGTACTGAATCTGACTTTTCTTTAATGAGCCAGAAGATACAGCTATGCTGGGCTGGCATTTTCACTGGATGGGAAAAGCAGCCGCCCCAGGTCCAAGCAAGCACTCTGCAGTTCTTACACACTTTCCCTTACCTGCCTGGGCCTGTGGGCCTTTGGGGTATAGGCACCTCTGAACTGCAAGGGAACCCAGAGTTTGGGGTGTGGGTATCCTGGCCTGCTGTGCCCCTGAGCACAGATCTCAGTTTGTACAGCTCATCTCTGCCTCCCTTTTCCAGAACTCTCCCCACCTACCCACTTGGAACTCATCTTTGAGCCAGACTGACTTCTTAGCAACAGTACAGTAATAATAAAACAGTAAGCAGTCGCAGGGGCTCAGGTAATGGCTTGCATGAGCTCCCAGACCTTTCCAGAGGAACCTAGTCAGACCTCAGTGGTTCATAAAACCCGGGAGTGGAGGGTGGTATGGGAAGAAACCATCCCAAGCAGGGAAAGGACTGAGAATAGAATAGTGGGGAAATGTGGTCTTTTCTTTGTAATTTAAATGGAAGCATTGGAGGTGCAGCCTGTGAACATGCCAGGGATCCTGCTCTAATGGGCAGGAAGAGTCACTGCTCTTCAGCCTGCTGATGTTAGGACAGAGATGAGGCAGGGTTGCCAGATTTAGCAAAATGCAGGACAAATACAGGACATCCACTAACATTGAAGTTTCAGTTAAGCAATGGATACTTTTTTTGGTATAAATATGCTCCATGCAGCACAAGGCCCTGAGTTCAATTCCCAGTACCACACACCAAAAAGTGTCCCATGCAATACGTGGGACATACCAATACTAAAAGCTACTTTGGGAAGGCATGGTGGCATTCATCTGTAATCCCAGCTACTCAGGAGGCTGAGGCAGGAGGATTATTCCAGCCCAAAAACTCAAAACTACCTTGAGCAACAGAATGAGACTGCATCTTAAAATAATTAATTTAATTAATTAAACTAAAAGCTAGTGATTTAGTTTAATTCTAGTGCCACTGGGTATCCTGGCTGGTTTGTTTGTCTGTGTTGCTCAGTGCTGGACATGGAACCCAGAGCCTGGCCCATGTCATGAAGTCATCCTGCCACTGAGCCACTGCCTCAGCCCCAACATCCTGTGCTTTATCAGGCAACCCTGAAACGTGGTGTTAAAGTGCTTGGAAAGAGGCTTGGATACCATTTTTTCAATGTCAGTTTTTGGAAACACTTCACCTTCAGCCAAGCTCCCTTTCCAGCTGAGCGTGAACTCCAAGGAACAGGGAGGCAGGACGTAGGGGCAGGAAGGCCGGTGACCCTTTGCAGCCCTCACCTCTGACACTCCTTTCCCTTTCTGTCCCAGCCAGCACAGGGGGCACCATGGCGGTGGACGTGGCAGAATACCACCTGAGCGGTGAGTGCCCTGGGCAGGCCCCTCCAGGACCATACCTGCGGCCCATTGGGGACCCTCGTGCCAGGCCCAGGGTGGGAGGTGTTGGTGGGACCTGAGCAAGGGCCTTGTTCTACTGGTAAGAACAGTCAGTAACTTACCCAAGGTCACACAGCCTTGGGGATACCATGCAGGGGATCTGTCTGAGATTTCCTCACTTCTCTACCCCAGTGGTTCCTTCCTGTAGAAGCAACTCCCTCGATCTCCCGGGCAGCCCCAGGAAGGTCAATGTTAGACACAGGGACAAGCAATTCGGGGGTCACATAGCCCAGGGGTGGAAAATGTCCAGGATACACATTTCCCCTGTGACTCTATCTAGTGCCAACCTCCAGGATGGGGTGGCCTGGGGAGAGGGTCTCCAGATACAGTCTGCCAGCCCTGCCAGCTGGTGGTAGCTGGTGTCACCCAATGCTCCCCTCCATGTTTACAGGCAGGAGAAGTGAGCCTCAGCGAGGGAGAGGGCAGTAATACCAAGTGAGGACTCAATCTCAGATCTCCCGACTCCCAGGCCAGCACAGCCCATCACACCAGCTGCTAACCTAACTCAGCCCTGCACAAGACCAGACAGAGCTGCAGGATGTGCCAGGATCACCTTTTCCAGCCCCTAGTCAGCAATCCTTCCTTTTCGCCTGTAGCTCACAGGTCTTTCCAATGACCCTGATGTGATGAAACCATTCTAAGCCTCCACTTACTCATCTGTAAAATAGGATCAGGGCTATAGGAGAATTCCTGAGTTGACCTGACCCAGTGCCAACATAGCTCTCCCTGGGCCTGGCATTCTCCCCACCTCTTCCCGGCTAAGCCCTCGGTCTGGGGAGGAGGTTATCAGTGAGAGCAGAGCGGGAGCCAGACAGTCTGGCAGCAATTCACCTGCCTGCCCCCTCAGCTTCCCCATCTGAAAAGTGGGGATCAAAATAGAACCTACCTGGCAGGATTGTTTCGAGGACTCAATGGGTCAATATGTTGACCTTAAGCAGGATCCGGCAAATAATAAACAGTAAATGCTTTCTAAGGGGAGTTGTTATTAGTCCTCCCACTCCTCCTCTGCCTCCTCTTCATTTCTGGTCCTAGCTTAGGCCTCTGTTCCTTTGGGAATTCTTCCCATACTGCCCCCAGTCTGGTACTCCATAAAATCCATTGGCACACGAATATCCATTGTCATTTCATGTCACCTTCCTGGGGCTTTTGCTTTTCTGCCCAGCCCTGCTATTCCATTCTACTAACAAGGCTTGGGCCTCGGTCCCCTAGCACCTAAGTCCTCCGAGGCAGGGAAGCCTGGCTCTGTTTTGCCTACCCTTGCTTGGGCCTTGGGCCTTGGGCCTTGACCTCTAGCCATGTCCCTGCTGCCACCCACCCAATGGGGTCCCTCTGGGGCAGTGTCCATGTTGCTGTCTACCGGACCCTGTCCTATCTCATCCCCCTCCACCAGACACCAAAACCATTCCAGAGGTTTGTTGTGCCTGGGCCTGAGGCCCTCTGTAGATCTCTTGGTTGTGGTTTTATTTAGCCTACAAGCCACATTCTGTCCACAGGAGCGGTCAGGATTCATCAGTTTGTTCACAGTCCCCTCAACCCTATTACCTAATCAGCCCGCTTTCTGCAGTCTGCCCAGTCCTTGTGCATTTGCTGTGATTTTTACATCAAAATCATGTGGCTATAGCATGTTGGGGACTGATTTTTTTTTCCTCTTAAGGATGCTGGAAATGTTTCTCCGCATTGCCACAGGCCCATCCCAGTGACCTCAATTGTCATTCTTGAAGGCCAGTGACATTCTCTCCCAGACAGCACAGCACATCAGCCCCCACCAGCCCTCTTGGTAGGACCTTCAGGCTGTTTCCAGATCTCTTCTGTTATAAATACAGCCTTGATGACTCATGCCACACATAAAATTGTTGGGATTTTTCCCCTCAGAATGTGTTGGTAGAAAGCCAGGCATGGTGGCACATAACTGTAATCCCAGCACTTTGGGAGGCTGAGGCAGGAAGATGATAAGTTTGAACCCAGCTTCAGCAATTTAGTAATTCAGTGAGAACCTCTTTCAAAAATAAAATAAAAAAATAAAAGAGCTGGGAGTGTAGCTCAATCCAAAGGCCCCGGGTTTGATCCTCAATACCAAAAACAACAACAACCAATTCACCAGGGTGGGATGACCACGTGGGGGATGCTTTTGTCATCATCTCCATTTTCCAGATAACAGTCTCAGGTCCAGAGAGGTGGGGTGACTTGCCTGGGACCCAAGGTCCCTGCATGCAGGTCACACTTTGGGTGATGCTGGGCTGCAGGCTGGGCCTCCCTGGAGAGAGACTATGGGTTCTGGCTGCAGAGGGTCCTGCTGGAGGGGCTGCCCTTCCTGGGTGGTGGGCTTTGGGACAGTGGGGACAAGGAACTCCTCCAGTCCCTGGTGCCTCTCACTCTCCCTCCCCTGGGCATTTGGCTCACGGTGGGCATTTTTTTTGCCTTCTCCATTCTGTCTGCCTCCACTCCCAGCCCCTGCTGCCTTACCTGGGGACACTTCTTGCTCTTTATATCTCAGCTCACACATTTCTTCTCCTGGAAGCCTTCCTGGGCTACTCCCGGGACAGTTCCTAGCAGCCTGCTTTGTATATTTATTTGTGCCCCAACCCCAGTTCCTTAGACGCTGAGCTACTGAAGGACAGAGGCCAGGTCTGGGCCTGACTTGCCTAGCACTGGCTCTCCCTGCCCACCCTGGCTGGGTACCCACTGTGTAGGTACTCAGTGGATGTGCAGTAGTAGATCTCCACCTCCAAAGTGCCCTCCCCACTTCTCTCCACCTTGCTGATAGGGAACCATGCCAGGTCAGTGCTGATTGGGGCACTGGTTAGCCCTGCTTGCTCTGGAGCCTGGCTGCCTGCCTTTCCGTGCCTCAGTTTCCCCATATGGGCATATAAGTATAGGGGCAGTGCTGGGAACTGCATTTGCCACTCGTGTGATCTTCTTCCAAACGAGACCCAGCATAGCACGGCTCCTTTTGGAAAGCAGGGCCAGGTTTCCTACAGAGCGAGGCTAACAGCCATGCCAGGTGAGCTCTCTCTGAACACAGTAGAGAAGAGCAAAGCTCTATATTTGGGGACAGGGAGGTGCAGACAGGGAAAGCTATGCACTTGGCAGTGGAAGAAAGCATCTCAGCATTTGGATTTGTCCCCAAGTTCTGCACAGCCTGTGCTACCTTTCACTTTAGCCGTGTTGAATCCTTGGTTTGTTAGTCTTGGGTAAGAGATTTACTGAGAAATAAGATAGACATACATACAATTCACCCACTCTGAAGTGCACAGTTCAGGGGTTTTTAATGCACTGTACAACTAGCTGCATAACCCATTTTTATTTTTCATTACCCAAAAGAAACCACCCTCCATCCAACCTCTCCCATTTGCAAATTCTAGGCATTCCATTGACAGTGTCCCTCAGGATCTTTAGGGGTTTCATTCCAAGACCCCCAGATACCAAAATCCATGTGTAAATCTCCTGTATAAAATGCCATAGCATCTGCACATAACTTCCACATCCTGCCATATACCTTACACCATGTCTACATGACTTATCACACCGAACACAATGTAAATGCTATGTACGTAGTTGTCATGCTGGACTGCTGAGGGGGTATCAATAAGGAAATAAGGAAAATAAGTCTGCACATGTTCTGTACAGACACAGCCATCCTAGACCTGATGACGTGGAACCCATCTGGGTTGGGTGAATCCACAGATGCGGAAACCACAGGCACAGGAAGGGCTGACTGTAAATGGAATTACACAATATGTGGTCCTTGTGTCTGGCCTCTTTCTGTCAGCAAGATGTTTCCAAGGTTCATCCGTGCTATAATGTGTTAGCATCAGTACTTCCTTCTTATTGCTGGATAATATTCCACTGCAGGGATATGCACCATAGGTTTATCTACTCATCCGCTGGTGGACATTGGGTTGTCCTGAAGGCTTAAGGCAAAAACAGGGTCATTTCTTTTTCTCCCCCGGATCTCCTTCCTCTTCCATCAGACTCAAAAGGCTGCTTTGATTATCAGGAAGCAACAATCCTCTGGAGGCTGCTGTAAGGTTAAAGAATCAAGGAACCAAGAACAACCCTCCCTATTTGTTTATAGCCTAAGGGATATCTAACCATAATCCACAGCAATTCATCTGCTTTGCCCTAGCACTGAGGCCCCAACACCTAGCACTGACCCTTGCACACAGTAGGCACTCAATAAAAAGGCCTTCTGTACTGAGTCTGTGCTGAACAATCTGTTCCCTGGGCGGAGGGGGTGGGGGTGGTTCCTTTAAGCATTGTGTCCCACTAATGAGAGGCTACCCTTCCCTTGCAGTCATCAAGAGCCCCCCTGGTTGGGAGGTGGGTGTCTATGCCGCAGGGGCCCTGGCACTGCTGGGAATCGCAGCTGTGAGCCTATGGAAGCTCTGGACATCAGGAAGCTTCCCCAGCCCCTCCCCGTTCCCCAATTATGACTACAGGTACCTTCAGCAGAAGTACGGGGAGACCTACACGGAGGCCAGGCCGAAGGTGAGGCTCCTGTCCTTCAGGTGCACGTGCAGAGGTGCCCACCCCACCCTTCCCCCGCTCTGGCTCTGTGCTGGTCAGTGTCCTCCTGTGAATGGGCACCAGGCCTCCTTGTGCCCTTGCGGATCTCCTTACTAGCCCAACACCAAGGAGTCAGTAGATGCTTGCTGAATGAATGAACTCTTTCAGTTTTCAAAACCATCCTGCAAACAAAAAAAACCATAAATAAGAAGGAAACCATCTTCCCAAATACCACTGCTACCCAACTATGAATTCCTTCCTTCCTTCCTTCCTTCCTTCCTTCCTTCCTTGCTTCATTCCTTCCTTCCTTCCTCCCTCCCTCTTTCCCTTCCTTCCTTCCTTCCTTTCTTTCTTCCTTCCTTCAGTACTAGGAATTTAACCCAGGGGCACACTATCACTGAGTTACATCCCCACTCCCCACCCCTCTTTTTTTTTTTGAGACAGCATCTAAGTTGCCCAAGTTGCATTTGAACTTAAGATCCTCCTGCCTCAGCCTCCTAAGTGCAGGAGTCACAGATGTGAGCTACCAAACCTGGCTCTAAACTGACTTTCTGATACATTTCTTTCCAGTATTTTTAATCTCCCATTTTCTTTTGTTTTCTATGCATACTTTTTATACAGTGGGTACCACATCTCCATGCAATTTTATATCCTACTCTTTTTACTTCACTTATAACTGAAGTTTTTTCCTCTATGGTTAACAACTGTCATAAACACCATTTTAATAGCTGCATAAGATTCCTTTTTATGGATGTCCCATGATTTACTAAATGGCACTCTGAATAATGCCATGGATGATTTGCATGTAAAACTTTGTCTTCATTTGGGATAAAGTACTTTGGATAGGTGTCCAGATGTGGAATTACTGTATCAGGGAGTACAAACATTTTAGCAGTATCAATATATATTGCTAGGGGCTGGGGATTTAGCTCAGCAGCACAGCACCTGCCTGGCAAGCACAAGGTCATGAATTCAATTCCCGGTACCAGAAGAAAAACAAACAAAACAGACAAACTACATTATATATATATATATATATATATATATATATATCTGGATGTCTCATTTGCAGAGAATATTTCAAACATACAAAATTCCACAGAGTACAGCATGCTGCTGGCAACAGTCCTCAGGTGGGCCTGGCACAAAGTTTTTAGCCCCTCACGCTCACTTACTTGGGGGGATATAGATTGGAACAACTTTTCCAAAGAGCACTTTGACAATACATGTCAAAAGTGCTCAGAAGGACTGTCCTCTGAGTCAAGAATTTTAAGAAATCTATTTGATGCTGTATTATTTATATTTGTGAAAAAATTAGAAACAACATAACTTCCCCACAGTAGAGAAATAGTAAAATATTGTTGCCTGCTAAATAGAAAACTGAGGGCCATTAAAAATAATGGTAAGTGTGTCGGTTTGGGGGCTTATTTTGCAAGGGGAACAACATAATACAGGACACATACTTTATATGATTATTTATAAGTCACCCAAAGAGCAGTATACAAAAGAGTGCAGGGAATCTGTCCACACACCAAGACCAAGGAATACAGCTGAGGGCCTGGATCCCACAACAATGTCCTACATGAGTTAAGCTGAATACCCAGAGCTCACAACAATGCCTCCCATGAATCCAACCGGAGGCCCAGAACCCGTGACAACGTCTCATGCAGGCCTGTTTCACGGATCTGCTGGGAAGGCCCAAAGGTCAGTGGTGGAATCTACAAAGTCTGTGCCAGCAGAATGAAGGACCTATGTTAGCAGGCTGAGGGATCTGCACTGGAGCTAGGAAGTGATGCTCAGAAGAACCAAAGCTCCCCCAAAAGGTACCACAGCCATCCTCGACAACAGTGAGATCCCGAGCTCCTCCGATGATCAGGATGGCCGAGTTCCCATCAGGGAAGCCAACGCAGCAAGCTTTTCCTGGAGGCCGGCAGTGCACCATCTTCCTCTCTGCAACCAGACAGCTATGCTCAAAGTGAGGACCAGAGCTCTCCAAAGTGAACTGAAGCCATTCTCAGTGCCTGCGAGGTCCCGAGCTCCTCAGAGGGTGAAAACAGCCAAGTTCATCAGGAAAGCCAGCTCCCCACGGCCTCTCTCAGCTCCCAACAGCCCGCTTCTTCTTCCCCAGGTCTGCCTCTTATGCTGCTGGCAACAGTCCTCAGGTGGGCCTCCCACACCCAGCACCACTCACTCAGTTCAGCTGGGGGTTACAAGTTGACCACCAGTTACCAATCCACTACAGTAAGGAAGATATGGGAGATGCTTATGATAAAGGCTTTTCCTTTCTCAAATCTCAAGGTGTTTTTTTTTCTTTTTCAAATCCCAAGGTTAAGTCAGAGAAAAGTTCAAATATTTGGATGATTCCCAACATGAAAACTTTTTTTGTAATTTTCCTTTGAGGTTCTCAGCCATCTGCTAAGTGGCCATGTCCTAATAGTGTAACCCATTCCACCTCTGCTAGACACTTAGATTGCTAACTGGTTTTCCTTTTTATCATCATTGCAGCCAGAAATGATGTCAAATACCTGTAATCCCAGCACTTGGGAGGCTGAGGCAGGAGGATCATTGAGAGCTCGAGACCAGCCTGGGCTACAAAGTGAGCTCAAGGCCAGCGTGAACTGTGTAGCAAGACCCTATCTCACCCAGTGCACCACCATGCCCAGCTTTAACATAGTTGTTAGTGACACAAAATAACATTAAATGAGGACCTTCATTTAGCTAAGGGGTGCTCTGATGTTTTAAAAGGGGATCTCAGAGGTGCCTTGAATGAGCAGAGCTTATAATATCTCTTTGCTGGCTCCTAAAAATGGCAGTGCACAACTCTAGTCCCAGCATTCCTGGAGGCTGAGGCAGGAGGATCCCAAGTTCACGCCCAGCCTGGGCAACTTTATGAGACTCTGTCTGAAAACAAAAATAAAATTTAAAAAAGGACCAGAGACATAGCTCAGTGCAAAGTGAGCTTGGTTTCAGTCCATAGTACCTCAAAAACAAAACAATGCCTGTAGCCCTTCTGATGCTTTCATGTCCCTTTTGCTCACCCCCAGAGAGCGCCTGCCTGGAATGCCCCACGGGCCAGTGCTCGGGGGCCACCCAGCCGCAAAGGTAGCCTCAGCATCGAGGACACCTTTGAGAGCATCAGTGAGCTGGGGCCGCTGGAGCTGATGGGCCGGGAGCTGGACCTGGCCCCCTACGGACCCCTCCGCAAGTCCCAGTCGGCCGACTCCCTGAACTCCATCTCCTCCGTGAGCAACACCTTTGGGCAGGATTTCACGCTGGGCCAGGTGGAGGTGAGCATGGAGTATGACGCCGCCTCCCACACCCTGCACGTGGCCGTGCTGCAGGGCAAGGACCTCCTAGAGCGCGAGGAGGCCAGCTTCGAGTCCTGCTTCATGCGCGTCAGCCTGCTGCCCGACGAGCAGATCGTGGGCATTTCCCGGGTAAGTACCACTGTGGTGGGCAGAGGGCTGCCCTCTAGAGCCAGGTATGGTTCCCCAGGGGCACTAGAAATCAGCCCTGGCTGCAGAGCCAGAGCAGAAGGTGCCCAAACTTCAGCTCTGCTAGCATGAGAGTACTGTGTGCCTGCCATAGCTGCTCATTTCCACATCTGTCCCCGTGTCACATGGGATCTTGGCAGGAAAGGGATGACCTGCTCAACTGGCTAACTGGGGCAAGTTCAGTGAGAGGGCTGCAGACCATGGTGTGGGTGAGGAGGAGGGTGGTCCTCTGCGCCTATTAATGGGAGGTCTGAAGGGACAAGGGGAAAGTGAGGCTCTGGGCTCAAAAGGACAGGGCCCCCTTGACGGGATCTGTGTCCTTTAGTCAAGGGATTCAGTCAGTCCCCAGCAATACTGCAGAGGAGGACCTCAGTTTCCATCCAGTGACCTGGTACCTGACCCCACTGGAAGGCAGAGACCAAGGGGGAAGGTTGACACAGGAAGTCTGAGTAGTTTACCCCTGGGGCCCATAGCAGAGTAAAGAAGGGCAGAGAAGAGACTTGGTGTGGTGGCACACACCTGTAATCTCGGCACTCTACAAAGCTGAGGCAGGAAGCTGAGGCAAGTTCCACCCCAGCCTGGTTGATTTAATGACTTAGCAAGGCTCTGTCTCAAAAAACAAAAAGGGTTGAGGATATAGCTCTGTGTGTGAAGGTCTGGTTCAGTCCCCAGTACTATAAGAAGAAATAGGAGGAGAAGGAGAAGGAAGAGAAGAAGAGGAAGGAGGAGGAAGGGGGCCAGAATCCTTGGTCCTTGACAGGGGAAGCCAGCTCAACATGGGCCATACCTTCCTGCCTGGCAGCAGGCAGCTCCAGGCTAGCAGGGTTCCAGATGCCACAGCTGGGAGCCCTCTGAGATGGGCAAGGTGAGAGGCCAGGAGGTGGGCTTCGTCCATGGGACCAAGGTGGAGATTCAATCAGGGGACTATGTGAGCAGTGTGGCACCCAAGGGCCACTGTAGGAGGATCCTGACCGGAGCCTGGCAGTGACAGAAGAGTGTGGCCACGGTGTCTGGAGGAGGTAGGGGATTTGTTTCCGGGAAGGCAGGCTTCATAGCACCACAGCCCAGCCAGTCCCACCAAGTGGGCAGCTGCTGCATGCAGGGCAGCCCCGCTGCTTCAGAGAAGGTGCCAGGGATGAGAACTCTCTTTAAATATCACGGGTGGTGACTAAGGCAGCCCCACACACAAGGGGGGGCAGTGCCCACAAGCGTGCCTCACCCAAGGACCTGCCCACAGCTTCCTGGGAGGAGGCCATTGGCACCCACTAAGCAGAACTGAGCTTGGAAACGGGGCCTGCCCCACCTGGCCTAGTCACTCCATCCACCTGTCTGCCCCTCCACCCACCCATCCATCTTACAGTGTTGGCAAAGGCCTGGGACACCAAGCGCTGGTGAATCCCCAGGCAACTGTCCCACCCCACTGCATGCGTGACCCAGGCAGGACTGGAGTAGATGCAAGAGGGACAGAGATTGACTCCACCAGGGTGTGGCAAGGGCTCTGCGGTGCCACAGGGACTCCGTGGATTCACTGGGCTCAGATGGTGGGAGCATTGAATGCCGCACCACTGTATCGGCCCCCACTGAGGAGAGGACATGGGATTTTTAAACCCTTAAAACTGAGCCACCAAAGGGAGGCTTGGCATTGAGACTGCAGGGGCAAGACAGCCGGGAGTCTGCCTCAGGTCTCTGGACTCTGTGTCCAGTGCTGTCTCCCTACTGCGACCTCCAGGCCCCTGGCTGCTATCTCCTCCTCAGCTCTAGTGTGCCTGCCATGGCCCTTTCTGCTGCAGATCCAGAGGAATGCTTACTCCATCTTCTTCGATGAGAAGTTCTCCATCCCGCTGGACCCCACAGCCCTGGAGGAGAAGAGCCTGCGGTTCTCCGTGTTTGGCATCGACGAGGACGAGCGGAATGTCAGCACGGGGGTGGTGGAGCTAAAGCTGTCTGTGCTCGACCTTCCGCTGCAGCCCTTCAGCGGCTGGCTCTACTTACAGGACCAGAACAAGGTGAGTCTGACCTGCTTGGCCTGAGTGGCCCCCTCCAGACTGAGCACGCACACATACACTTTCAACTATGAGTTCCACCACCTTTCTGCCACAGCCTGGCGTCATTAGGAGACCGTGTTAGCCACATTTGAGGAAACTACTTACTGTATGCAATGACAATAAGAACAGCACAAAAATCCTGACCACTGCATATGGTCTTTTCCACCAAACTTTTTTTTTTTTTCTTTTTGAGACAGGGTCTCGCTGTGCAGTTCAGGCTGGCCTTGAGCTCACTTTGTAGCCCCGACTGGTCTCGAACTCGCAACGATCCTCCTGCCTCAGGCTCCCAAGTGCTGGGATTATAGGCATGCACCACCATGCCCAGCTTTTCCACCAAACTTGCTGAGGCTACACTTACCAGCTCCGTTAGGCACACAGCTCTGGCTCCAAAGCAGACAAGCTTCTTCAGCTTGTCTTTATAAGTGTAAGGATGCCAGGGGGTACATAAATTGTCATTTAAGCAAATGATACAACTCCCTTCTACTTGGATCTCTATGCGCTACCATCATAGAAAGTTTCCCTCGGCCTGGAAGGAGGGAACAAACCTGCATTTGAATGATGTGTCTGACAGGTAACCTCTGGACCTTCTTCCAAGGCAGAGGCCACACCTGGCACAAAGGAGGGACGGTGCATGCAGCGTGGTGTGGCAGGGGCGTGGGCCCCTTTCTCCGTCCTGCCAGCCAAGTGCCTGGATGTAAGGGGCCCTAAGAGCAGAAAGTAGAAGAAAGCTTCCACTCTTCCCTGGACTTCTCAGGTCCCAGGGGAGAAAGCCCTCTGAGCTACACCTGTCCCCCCGCCCCCAGGCTGCTGATGCGGTGGGGGAGATCCTGCTGTCCCTCAGCTACCTGCCCACAGCTGAGCGCCTCACTGTGGTTGTGGTGAAGGCCAAGAATCTCATCTGGACCAATGACAAGACCACAGCTGGTAAGGCCCTGCCGGATGCCTGGGTCCGCCATATGGCCCAGCCATGTGTCGTGGGCGCCTGGCCACTTCGGCATGTGTGTGGCACAGGGCCAGGGACCCCATGGCTTCAACTTAGCTCAGAAGCCAGGCATGGCTGGTAGGAAGATTAATGTGGCTGGGGAAACATGGGAACCCAGAAGGGTGCCAGGGGCCCCCCATGAGGGCAGAGCCTCCAGTCCCTCCCAAAGCAGGAACCCACGAAGGCAGCTGTAATGGGTAGCCACAGACAGAGGGCTGGGGGACCCCAACCACTGGGAGTTGCAAACCTGAGGTGGGGGCAGCCCAGCTCCAGGCATGCGCAGCAAGAACACCCAGTGGGTGTTAGCTGATGGCCAGACGGGGACTTGGTATTTCAGAGTTGTACACCGTTAGGCCCTGCTGAGGTGGTACTGTGTGACTCACAGCTGACGTCTGTCCTCAGCCATTTATAGAACAGGAAGTGATGGGTCTGCCAAGCTCTGTGGAGCATCATGTGAGGGGAATGTGTGGGCTGTGAGGCAGGCTGCCAGTCCAGAGTCCAGCCCTTGCCTGACTTGCCATGCAAGCTTCAGTTTTGTCATCTGTAAAATGGGATTTAAAATACTATAGAGCTGGGCACCATAGTGTTCACCTGTGGCCCCAGCTACTCAGGAGGCTGAAGCAGGAGGGTCCTTTGAGCCCAGGAGCTTAGGACCAGCCTGGGTGACATAGTGATATCCTATCTTTCTAAACAAACAAACAAAATCATGAAATCTCAGTGGCAAAGCTACTGGTGATAGTAGCAATAGTGAATGAAGGGTTGGGGAGTTGGAACCAGGGGGCTGAGCCAGAGTGGCCAGGGCCATGCCAACCAAGTGTGGCACTGGCCCTCACCCCACCCCATCCACCTGCAGATCCCTTCGTCAAGGTGTACCTGCTGCAGGATGGGAGGAAGATGAGCAAAAAGAAGACAGCAGTGAAGAGAGATGACCCCAACCCAGTGTTCAATGAAGCCATGATCTTCTCAGTGCCAGCCATTGTGCTCCAGGTGAGGGGGAACAGGTTGCCCTGGGCTCTGGGCCACTGCACCTCTGACTTCACCTCTTGGCCTCCTGCCATCACCTTTCTAGTTGAGAAGCATTTGTTGAGTGCCTGCTGGGTGCCAGCCTTGGGGTGGACATTGGAGACACTAGCACTTCTTTCTTGGTGCTTATAAGGAACAGACAGCCAGGGAGGTAGCTCAGTGGCGCAGCACCTGCCTGGCAAGCACAAGGTCCTGAGTTCAATTCCCAGTACCAAAAAAAAAAAAAAAAAGGAACAGACAGAAAGGTCCCCAGACAATATTAATCTGCTAAGAACATCCTAGACCTTAGCAGCTGGTGGCTTTCTGCAGGATGGGACAGCTCAGCTAAATTCTGAGTGAGTGGAGAGACTTGCAGGCCCTCTAGCCCTCAATCTCCTGAACTACTATGGCAACTCTGCCCAGCTCCCCAAACTCCACAGCTTCTAGAAGACCCTGTGTCCCAGAGAGACCCTTCCCAGCAGGAACATCACAGATCACCTTAGGGAAATGCAGAAGACACTCCTTTAGCCACACCAGTGGCCCTGCTTATATGCCTTAGAAGATGGCCATCTCATCACCTCCCCCCAGTTTCCTTCTATCCTTAGGCACTGTGGACAGTGAGGAGACCCATCCTGCCTTAGGTCAAAAGCCGTCTCCATAGCCCTGGAGCCGTACAGAGTTTACCTAATCTCCCTTCCCTGGGATACCCCACCTGCATATGAAAGCCCAGAACTCTGCCTCGTACTGGGTGTCCTTAATCCAGGCAGGTGTCACAGCCTCTCCATCAGTCCTGGGTGTTATAGCCTTGTCCTGCCAGCCAGTGGGACAGGCTGTCCCTCTGACCCTTTCCCTCCCCTGGTTGGTCACAGTGCCACTACTCCAACTGAGATAAGGATTAGTGATAACCAGAGCATGGTGCCCTGTGGGCAGACACATTCCATACACTTAACTCACTTCACTCTTGAAACAGCCTTCTGAGGTAAGGACTACTATCGCATTTTATGATGGGGACACAGGTAGCAAGAGTCCAAGTTGCTGCCCAAGGTCACATAGCAAGGAGTGCTTAGGCCAGCATTTGAACCCTGCTGGTCTGGTGCCACCATTACCTGGAAGCTAGGCAAATCTAGGCCAAATCCTGTCTGCCATATATTTTCCAGGAGAGCCTGGACAAGTCTTCTCATGTCCCAGATCAGGAGTGGGTTCAGGGAGCTTCACCTTGCATCCCATGGGGTCAGGCTGGGACCTAGGAGCCAAGGAGGACTTCTGGCAGCTCTTGGCCCTCAGCACGCATGCATGTTCCCTCCTCCCCAGGACCTGTCTCTCCGTGTGACAGTAGCTGAGAGCAGCAGCGATGGCCGCGGGGACAACGTGGGCCACGTCATCATTGGGCCATCGGCGAGCGGCATGGGTACCACGCACTGGAATCAGATGCTGGCCACGCTGCGCAGGCCCGTGTCCATGTGGCACGCTGTTCGGCGAAACTAGCAGCCAGAGCAGGCCAGGTGGGCAGCAGAGCCGCTGGGGCCTGGCACACACTCACTCAGCTCTATCTGAAGCCCTCTTCATAGCCCAGCTGGAGCTGGGACCACTGGGGTCCCCATCAGTCACCTTGGACCCTCTGTCCAGACTACAGTGGAGGAGCAGGTGGACCTCTACATCGAGGAGGCCAGGGTTTTCTCCCACTGAGGACCAGCTCTAGCTCTAGCTGGGCCAGGACCCATGGAGGGCAGAGGATGCTGGCCACTTGCGTACCATCTGGAGTTCCTCACGTGGTTCGCCCCTTGATCTGCAGGAAGACCTGGCTCCCAGAGCTGGCAAGCTCCCCGACCCCCCTCCTCCTGGGAGGCCAGCTGCCAGGCTGGGCCACGACCAGAACAGGCAACTCTTGGGGGCCAGCACTGTGCTAGGCACTGGCAGGCGTCTCATGAACAAAACAAAGCCCCCAGCTTACCAGGAAGTCAGGATCCCACCGCCCAAGGGAGATGCTCCGTGGACGGTCCAGCCGTGCAGACTCAGGGTGTGCTGTAGGAGCTGGGGGACAGGCAGGGCCCCATGGACAGGAAGGAGCTGTGCTCTGCAAGGTGGGGAAGGAACCAGGTCCTAGGCAGGGGCACAGCTCAAGGAGTGACAGAAACATGGACTTTTGAACTTTCCTGACACAAGCACAGAGAAGAGACCAAGAGACCAGAGTCAAGCAGAAGGCTGGAGGCCACATCGGGGCTCTAGGGTTACTGTCCGTGAAATATTCGCCTGGAACATCAGCCATCACAAAAACCAGAAGCTCAGGGGCCAAGAGCAAGGTCTTTGCACAGGGTCAGTACAAAATCAGCCCTGGTTCCACCAGCTGACCAGGCTCTGCTGGGAAGAGATGCCTCCGACAGACCTGGTTGCAACCCACCCCCAGGATATTGGGCATCTTGGGTCAAGTTCCCTAAAACTGTGGCTTCAGCAGATGGTTAGCCTCAGCCTAAAGACAATAGAGAGCTCTGGAGGGGCAAATGGCACCCCAGGGGTCCTGCCCAGAAGCAAAGGGGCTGGGCTGGTACATCAGTCGTTGGCTTCTGCCCCTGCTCCTGGTGGAGTGAGGGTGTCGTACTCTTGCACGTGTCCCCAGATGAGGAGCAGCTGTCATCTACCAAAGACAGACCCAGAGAAGCAGCAGCTTCCTGCTCTTTACTGAAGGAGGGGGCACCTTCAGGGATAAAGGGATGGAGTGGGCAGGGATGGGATGTACAGCAGCAGTGTCTGCTCTGCAAGGCCACCCACAGGTAAAAGGGGGACTCTCAGGCTGGCTGTGCTATTCCTTAGCTCTGGTGAGCTATGGAGACCCAGATCCAAGCAGCTGTCACCAATGACACGGTGAGAGATGGCTTGAACAGGTGTCCAGAGGGTTGTGGGACTGGAGCAGGACCCCGTGACACAACCAGAAAGTCAGCATAGGGCCGCGCATGGCTGGTGAGCCCTCGCAGCCCAGGAGACCCCAGATCCTTCTGAACCTCAGGGCCTTGCAGGGCAGGCCATGTCCTCCTCCCTCCTCTTCCTCTCTCCCTCCCTTGAACTGCATGAAATGGTGACCGCGGAGCCAGGGTGGCTGTGGTGGGGATGAGAATGCTGACTGGAATGATTCTAGAACCAAATAAAGCTGGGGCAGGAAGGGGGCTTCGAGAGCACTGCTCAGTTCCAGTCGTCTCCGTCTCTTCTCCAGAGCAGGGTCTCAGGCCTCGTGGGGATGCCTGCATGCCCTGCTTCCCTGCTCTGGGTGCCTGGCTGGAGAGACCAGCGCAGTGTCCTTGGGCTCTCTGGGAAGCTCTGAGGGAACCCGGAGCCAGCCCTGGCAGGGGAGGTTACTGATGGGGAAGGAGGCTGTAGCTGGTGGCACTCAGCTGAGCCCTCAGGCCAAAAAGGGACGTCAGGTGGGTAAGGCAGGAAAAGATTCTTAGCAGAGAGAATAACACATGTCAAATGGCAGGGGTGACCAAAACCTGGGCCAATTTATCCACCTTGCTGAAGGAGGGGTGGGGAGAAGGGAGCCAGGGGACAGTCCTGTAGAGTGAGTGCCAGTGCCCAGCACATGACCTTCCTTTAGGGCAGGTAGGTGCTACTGTCGCATCCATTCCCACAGATGTGGAACAAGTTCAGAGAAGTTAGGTGACTAGCCCAACATCACACAGCCACAAGGTTCCAGGGCGGTGATTCAAGGTCAAGCTGTTTTGGAGGCTGTGCTCCTGGCCACTGGACAATAGGGCCTCTTTCTCTGACTCCTCAAAGGTGGGGTTGAGCGGCAGCAGAAAAACCCTTTGGGATTCCAGCACGTTCTGGCTTCTCCTTCCCTCCCCTCCCCCCGGAAGGTCAGACATGGACAAGGATGGAAAGAGTTCCCAGGAGATCTTCTCTACCGTGGCTGACTGTGAAGAGCTCTGGGGACCCCCCAACATGCCTGGGGGGCAGGGGGAACTGACTAGGCAGCTGTCACGGAGCCCGTGAGCAGGGCTGAGACCAGAGGCTTCCTGGAGCAGGCAGGGACGTTAGCAACAGCCTCGCAGCGCCTGAGTGGAGGCCCCACAGGCCTCTTGGAGACACAGTCGGACTGAGGCTCCAGAGGCCAGGGAGAGGGGCCAGAAGGGCTTCCAGCATCCCAGGTGAAACAGAAGTTTCCATCCTGCTGAGAGCTGGGAGCCACGGAGGGGCTCTGGCCGGAAGCAGGTCTGGGGAGGCTGAGGGTCACTGAGGACCTTTAGAGGGGGACACAGAACCATCAGCACGCGTTGCTCCTGGTCTGCAAGGAGCAGGCGGGGCAGGCAGGTGGCCTCTGAGCTACCCTTAGGTTGGGGGCCATCAGCAAGACTCCCACCGAGGTGCCTCTGGGGGAGGAGCAGGGGCTACCGCGGCCGGGAGAAGTGCTCTCATCTCTCCTGACCTTTCCCACCTATTTCCATCCTCCTCTGGCCTCCAACCCTCTCCCCCTTTCCTCTCCACTACTCCCCCTGTCTGGGGTCCCACCCAGAAAGACAGATGTGTAAGTCACTGACCCAGCCAGAGCCACTGCCTGAGCCAGGCCGGTGGGAGTAGGGGGACAAGATGTGCCGCTGCAGCCACCTTCTCTTCTCCCCACCCGTTACCCTTATCTATGGCTGCAGAAACCCCAAGGGACAGATTAGTTAAAAGGCGAAGTAAGCCCTGGGGCTAGACCACAGGGCTCCCTCTCTCTCTGCCCAACTGCTGGACTGCCTGTTCTACCCAGGAAGGCCGCACAACAGGTAGAGCTGCTGGGAGAAAAGGGGCCTGTGGGTCCTGCCTGACACAGACCTGGGTCTGCTGCTTGCCCGCTGTGTGACAAGTTCCTTCCTCTCTCAGGGCCTCAGTTGCTCCATCTGAAGAGTGAGGGTACTGGACAAGATGGCCAACAAAGGCCCCCACATCTTTGACTTGGGGGAGGGGGTTCTGTGGGCTCTGGAACCCAACTTCCTGGGCTCAAGACCCAGCTCCTCCACTCACCAGCCATAGGATCTTGGACAAATTATGTGTCCTCTTTGGGCATGTTTCCTCATTTATCAAAGGAGCCTTGTACACACCTAGTGAGAATGATGACACGCCAAGTGAGTAAACGAGGCCAAGGCTTGGCGAAACTACACTCCAGGGCCCATGCGTCCTATAGTGGCACCCCAAGGGGCGGGACCAGATCTCTGAGGTTCCGCCTCCTTGGCATCTACTTTCCCCTTCATTCACCCACGCGCAACCCTAACTCTAACCCTAACCCCACATCCCAAGCTAGGAATGCGAGGCAGAGCTGACAGGCTGGGTGAGAATGGTGCAGAGAGCAGAGAGGCCACATGGGGGCAGCAGAGAATAAATGGGACAATCTGGGATTCCTGGCCTCAGGGAGGTGGGGGAGGGCAGCAGAAATGGGGCAGAGGGGCCAAGGGTAGGGGTCCTTGGAGCAGGTGAAGGCTGCAGAGCAGGCACTTGTCTGTAGAACCACCCCCACCCTAATCATGGATTATTCTAGCAGGCATTTGTTCCTTCACTCATTCTTGAATTTCTTTTTTTTTGTCTTTTTGCGACAGAGTTTCACTATGCAATTCAGGCTGGCTTTAAACTCATTTTGTAGCCCACACTGGTCTCGAACTCACAGCGATCCTCCTGCCTCAGCCTCCCGAGTGCTGATATTTCAGGTGTGTGCCAACCTGCCCGGCCCACTTGAATTTCTTTTGAGCCAGTCCCTCTTGCTTCCTTTCTCCTCTCTTCCCCACTTGTCCTTTTCCCTTGTTTGTCCAGTCAGGCAGTCAGCTGGACACAATATCCTGAGCCACTGGGAAATGTCATCTGTGGTCCCTGCCCTGGAGGAGGTCACAGCCTGGCTGGGGACTGAGATCCTGTCTGGTACCAGCGTCCCACGGAAGAGACGTAGACTTGGCCACCTCTGCTGTTCTGGAGTCTACAAGACAGCCGCTCACTATAAGGACTCTGGGCCTGGAATGGGGGTGAGGGGAGCTGAGGAGACTGAGTCACCCAGGGGCCGGAAGTCAGCAGCAGCCACAGTAAACAGTAAAACAGCCTGTAGTACTCTGGCCAGGCAGACTGTGACCTGAGCCACCTCCCCACTCCAAAATTAAACTCTAGGAAAACAGTGCGGTCCAGGGCAATGTCTGAGATTTGGGGAAATTCCCTGCCACTCAGGCCGATGGCTGTGACCAGTGACTAATCTGCCTCCTCTGAAGCACGAGCAGTGGATGGGAATAAGACTGGGCTTTTACCTCAGGGACCACATCCTGGCTCTGTGGCTTGCTGCCCTAAGATAAGCAGTGCCTCTCTGAGGCTCAGCTCCCAAACCTGTAAAATGGGGGCGGGGGCGGGGGCGGGGGCGGGGGAGCAGATGGTCTTCTGGGCTCACCTCGCCATCCGAGTGTTAAATGCTGTAACGCATATGGTGTGGTGTTGGAGGAGAGTCCAGCTTTGCAGTAACATTGGGATCCAAATGCCAGTGTGGCCTCTTATTAGCTGTGAAGCTTAAAAAGGAACCTAAGTTCCTCATCTGTAAAATGGGGCTAACAATTCCTGCCTCCTGGGGAACCAGGCCTGCATGTGGTTTGCAATCCACTAATGGGTACTGTTATTATTAGGAAGTATTCAGAGAAACTGTAATTCGTGACAGCCGCCAAGTGTGTCATTAGAGTGATTATCCCTATAGCAACCAGGGACAACTGCCTCTGCCTGACTCCGAGCTCCCTCCGCCCTTGTCTGGCCCCACCTTGCCTGACTACAGTGGCAGTGGGGAGCAAAGGGGATGACAAGGAGGCTGGCAGCTAATCTTAGAGGACAGGGCCCATTCCCCACCACTCCTTGAGGTGAGGAACTCTGCTCAGGAGCTATGCACCCAGCCTGGTACCAGCTCACTCCCCAGCCCCAGAGCAGGAAGAAAGGGTGGAGTCTTCCCGGGGAGAATCCCTGCCTCTAGTTCCCTGCCTCTAGGTGAGGCCTGATCCAGCCTGCTGACCACAGCCCTGAAGGTGAGCCAGGTATAGGAATTGGGGAGCCGGACACTACCTCTCCCTGCTCTGGGGACAGTGACTCCTGTGAGACTGCCTCTTTGGGCCACAGTGAAGTTCAAAGGGGGCTAAAACTGGGCATGGTGCCACATACCTATATTCCCAGCACTCCAAGAAGCTGAGGCAGGAGAATCACAAATTTGAGCCCAGCCTGGGCAACTTGGCAACTTAGGGAGAGCCTGTTTTAAAATAAGAAGTGAAAAAAAAGGGTGGGTAGGGTGTAATTCAGTACTAGTTCAAGCCCTAGTACCAAGAAAAACAACACCAAAGGGAGCTGAAGAGGATTTTCAACTGCCTGGCATTGAATTCCATGGGGGATGATGTCATGACCAATGTTGGGGTTAAGAGTGAAACCCAAAGACTTCGGCCCCCTGTTCCTATTTAGGCTTTAGTGGAATTACCTGGTCCAAGCTCTGGCTCAGTGATAGAGAACATTTTATGGTTTTTTGGTTTTTGGTGGTTTTTTTTTTTTTTTGGTTTTGGGTTTTTTTCTGGTACCGGGAATCGAACTCATGACCTGTGCTTGCCAGGCAGGCACTGTGCCACTGAGCTAAATCCCCAGCCCCTGACAGAGAACATTTTAGAGACTGAGTGCCAAATTGCAACCCAAAACCCACTTATTTGTTGCAAAGTGCCAACACTGCAATCAAACCTGAAGTTTTAGTTCAGAAAGAAACAATTCATACATTAACATCTTTTGTCTCAAAAGAAAAACACAATAACACACATGCCATGGTTTCACCACCATTGCTCTAGAGTGACATTGTGCCCATTTTTTAAAAATTTAAACTTTGGCCACTGAGGGAGAGAGAGGTGAGGTGACAGCAAGTTTTCAGTTTGATACTAGATGTATTCCTGGAAGCCACAGTGTCCCGCTAAGCCCTGCCGTCTGCCTGCTTCAAGAAAGGAGCAAAGGGGATGACAAGGAGGCTGACAGCTGATCTTAGAAGACAGGGCCCATTCCTCACCACTCCTTGAGGGGGGGAACTCCGCTCAGGAGCTATGCACCCAGCCTGGTACCAGCTCACTCAGGTCCCCACAGCCTTGCAATACGTTCCCTCCTTTGGAATCCTTTTCCCTCCCCTATCTGGGCTTCCTTTTCCCCCGGAGACTCTGGGCTTTCGGGTCAGAAGGGTTTCCTGACTCCCCACCCAGGGTGAAAAGCCCTTTTCCCCTATTCTTGTCCTACTGACTGTCCCAATGCCCAGATACCTCAGGACTCTGATGTCCTTCCTGGCTCGAAAGCTGGGCTATGAGTTCCCCAAGGCAGGGACTTTGTCTTGAATTATCTAGGGTCCTCAGGGCCTCGGAAACTGGAAGATCATTTCTGTTGATTAAATTCTAACAGTGACCCATGACCTCAACCATATGCTGGGCCCTGCCCTAAGCACTTCATAGATGGACGCTTCCATCAATGTCCTTAGGTCACGCACCAGCCAGGGTGGCATAGGTGGTCACCCACCTGCAGCCAAGCTTCCTGGTGCTGGTTGAGGAGGGCAGGGCAGGCCTGGCAGTGCCAACCACTGACCCACAAGGGCATAGCCAGCCACCCCCATCCAGCTAGCCTGAAACACCTGGGCCCTCAGGGAATGCACAATCATTCATTTAGCCAAAGTAACCACCCTTAGGGCCACCTCCTTCCTCCCAGAGAAAGGGAGCCAGGTGCCTCCTCCTCCCGTCTGCCCCCACCTCACGACCACTTCAGCTAGGAGCCCAGGCTGCCCTCTTGAGGGCCTAGGTCCCTCCTGTGCCTCAGCGCCCGTACACGGTAAGTGCTCAGCAAGTGTTCCTTGAGTGGCTGAACTGGACGCCAGGGAAAGCGTCTGACCCAGCCCCGCATGCCTCGACACCGGCCGGGCGCCCTCATCTGGACTAAGGCCTCTCACCTGGGCTGGGGACCGCGCGGCCCGCCCGGCCTGCACTTCCTCCCGCCGCCCCGCCCCTTCCACATTCCTGCCCCGCCGGGCCTGCCCCGCGCCCGCCCGGCCCTGCCCACAGCCTGCCGCGTCCCTCCGTCCGTCTGTCTGTCCGTCCGCAGCTTCGAGCCTGCCGCCCTCTCTCCCCCCGCCAGGGATGAAGGGGGCCCAAGCCGCGGGCGAGGAAGCGCCGGCCAGCGCGCGGTCGGTCAAGGTGGTCCTGGTGGGCGACGGCGGCTGCGGGAAGACGTCGCTGCTGATGGTCTTCACCAACGGGGACTTCCCCGAGGTAAGTGTCTGCTGCTGCGCCCAGGACCGTACGGCCCAGGGCTCCAGCGCTCCAGCGTCCTGTCCGCACATAGCTGCCACGGGGGTACCCAACTCCGGGCTCCCAGGGGCACCGCCAGGAGGGCCTAGTGTTAAGGGCAGAGTCCCTCCCACTCTGCCATTGGAGGGAAGGCCCCAGGGGTCCTATTTGTAAACTGGGACGAATGGCACCTTCCTGGCACCTCCCTGGGACTGAATGAGCCACCTGGGTACACAGAGGGGCCTGAGAGGACACTTGGCACAGCTTGGCTAAAAGAATGATGACTTTGGAGCAAGACTGGCAAGTTTCGAATCATGTCTTTGCGGCTTACAGCTGTGTGCCTTTGGGCAAACCCTTTACCCTCTCTCTGCCCGGTCCTTAACTGATTAATAGCAATAATGCTAGCACCTACCTGAGTTAATGGAAAGGGGAGTTAGTAAAGGTCAAGTGTTCAGCTCCAAGCCCACACACAGGAAGAACTCACAGAGAGTGACAACTGTCCTGTTTGGGGACGTCTCTTCTCTAGTCCATGCCACTATAATGCCTAACCCCAGGGCTCCACCTTGGAGGGGAAGAGCCTGCCAGCTCTGGAGCTGGACAGTTGGGTTGGCACATCAGTTTCTCTACGGAACCCAGGGCCCCTTAGTGACTCACGTAGCCTCTCAGAGCCTCAGTTTCCTCACCACAGCACCATGGGGTAGAGGTAATGGACGGCTGACGGACAGCTCCACTGAGCACCTGGTGCATCATGGGTGCTCCACCAAGGGTCAGTCCTTCCCCAACATGCTCGACAACTGTCCAAGTGGGCTCAGCACTCACCAGATCCCTGGCCAGGGACAGGGGCTGGACCCCATCTGTGCTGCCTCTTTGGGCCTCAGCAAGGAGTAGGGGCCCTGGGACCCTGGGACTTCTCATTTTCTTTTCCTCCTTGTCTACCCCAGTATCCTCCTATCCCCAAAGTGGTACAGGCACTGGGGCCTGATGAAAAGCAGGAGAGGCCAGGCCTACAAACAGCACTGGGCCTGCTTCCACTGCAGCAGCAGCAGTTTATGGGGCTGACGTCAGCTCCTCTGGCCAGTTACACAGATTCTTAAGTTGGGGGGGCATGTTTCCAGGTCCCTAGATACTGCCTGTGGGAACCCACTCATTATGGCACTCTGGCCAACCATTATGGCACAGTTGGGAGGATCCAGGGGAGGGCACCTGAAACTCGGGGCTGGAGGGGGCGGGCGCATCTCACCAACATCCTGAATCAGATCCGCTTGATGGTAACATCGTTGGTGGAGACAGCCGACCCAACGGCAGAGTGGTTACTGCGTTGAAATGGGCACCTTGTACCCCATGAACTGTGTATGTCTTGGAGCAGATGCTGGGGTGGCCAGAGGAGAGGAGGGCCTGCTTGTCACTGCGGGGATGGACACTCTTTGTCAGGGCTCTTTCTCGGTCTGGGAACCTTGGGTCACCTGGAACAAAGAGACACCTCTTCTTTTAAAGCACCATAAGATTCAAAAGCCGGCCAGGATTCATCTTACAGGTGAGAACACCGAGGCCAGAGAGGCAGAGTCTTGCCTGGTGGCCCACGGCCCTGCTGTGGCCTTCCCAGCCCTGGCCACTGTCCCCAGTACTGTGCGTGCTGGACCCAGCCTCCCCGCCTCTTTCCAGGCAGCCCAGCTCAGGCCTTGGGTCTCCCAGGCTTCCTGCCTATAGCCAAGGGCAGAGAGCAAGCTGCGGCCCCGCCGTGGGTTCAAGGGGGAGGAAGTGAGGCGGAGAGAGGCCAGGGAGGGACCCCAGGGCTGCGTGACAGCCCCTGGCCCAGTCCTGACTGGCATTTGGAAACATGACTACTCCCACAGAGCCAAAGCCCAGTGGCCTCCATCAGGTGGGGAGGGAGGCTGCCAGGAGCACCTGGCCCTGCCTGCTGAGCAAGCTGCTCCCTCACGGTCTCCACTAAGTATCCTCCCTGGGAAACCCAGACACACTGTCCTGAACTATGTCTCCATCCCGTCTGTCTGGGCACCGCATGAGGGCAGGCCTGGAGCTGTCAGCCCTGCCCTGCTCCGCAGAGGCTCAGCAGATAAGATTAGGCACTTACTGATCCCCCTAGCAGAAGATGGCCCTCCCTGGGGTTCAAAGAGCACAACAAAGGATGTAGACAGTCTTCGGTATCACATTCCAGAGCTAGGGAAGAACAGTGGCAGTTATAAATCAAAGGAGCAACACAGGCCCTTCCCTGTCCTCAGGAGTTAGAGACCTCAGGAGAGGCAAGTGGCTAGGGACAGAGCCTGGCCTCAGCAGCCAGACAGACTTAGCTCCCTCACTAACCGGATAGCTAGTGTGTCACCTCAGGCAAATCGCTTCTCCTCTCTGGGCCTTACTAGCAAAATGAGGGCGGCACTGAGTTTCCAAGTTTGCAAAGATCAGAGGTGGTACCACGAAGGGCCATGGAGAGTGGCAGGTGATGGAGTGGCTGCCGTGGGCATTTGCAGAGCACTGGTATGGGTCTCCCAGAGCTCTGTGCAGGCTTCCCCGCAGCACCATCAGGAGATCCCACAACTGGTGCCTGGGAGGCCATGTGTCCACAATGGCAGGCTGATGGCAGACCCCTGGTCCAGGCCACAAGTCAGGCTGGGGAAGGGGTGGGGAAGACAATGGTACCACATGGAAGGACAGAGGGGTACTGGTGGGGACACTGCCCCTGGCATCCAGCTAAATAGTGAGCGTTTATGCTGGGGCCTCACCTGCCAGTCCGTCCTCCCAACCACACCGTGACAGCCCAGTGACAGGACTGGTTCAGGCCACCAGAATCGGATCCTAAGCCAAGCCCATCTGATCCCCAAGCCAGCGCTCCTATCTACCGTCATTCTGTCCCCAAGAGGCAAAGGGCCTGAAAGGATGGGCAAAGCTCAGAGACGGGGCGGTGGGTGGAGTCTCTGTCTGTTCCTCTGTTCCCATTGGTAGAGGGAACCACAAGATGGCAGCTCCAGGACTTTTCCCACTGTAGGGCCTGCCCTTCTCACCCGACTGCAGCCTTCCAGGTGGCCTGGAGGACAGCACTGACCCACTGCCAATGTGCTGCTTCTGCCAGCTGACCAGGGCGTGACTCAGAGGCCACAAAGCCCTCCTGAGTCACAGGCAGGTGGGGGCCCCACCTGACTTGGGGAGGTGGATGGAGTGCCCCAGACTGTGGTCCCACCAATTAGCCCTGAGCGTGTGATCCGGGCCTAGAGCCCCAAAGTGCAGGGTGTCCAGCACACCCCTTAGGGCACAAAGCTCCCTTCATGGCAGTGTGGAAGCCCTCCTCATCTGTTGCCCAGGCCCCATTTTGCAAAACCTCCTGCATCATCCCTGCATTTTCATCTCCGTACAAAATCTTTCCTGTTTCCTATTCATTCAGCCTTTGTGGGAAGGGAACAATGGAGCCAGGCAGGGCTGGGGAAGAAGGGCCTTTGTCTCCTGAGAAGCAGGAGTATGGGATGTTGGGGAAGAGGACCAGGAAGATAGTTTGGGGAAGCTGGTGTTGGATGGGGGTCTTTTCTGGTTTCCAAGAAATTGAGAAGCATCAGTCATGGTGGAACTCATCTATAATCTCAACACTCGGGAGACTGAGGCAGGAGAATCACTGTGAGTTCAAGGCCAATCTGAACTATATAGTGAGATCCTGTCTCAATAAATAAATAAATAAAATGTTGAGAGGCAAAGGAGGGACCCAAAAGAGCTGAGCATTCACTGAATGCTCCTCAGTGTCCAGAACGGGGCCTAGAAAAGATGCTCATGTTTGCAGAATAGATATGTGATAAAGGAAGGAAGCAGCACAGGAACAGCTGAAGGTTAATGTGCTTCCACAAGGAGGAGATAGGAGATAAAGGCTCGGAAATGGGAGCCCCCCCTTACAAGCACAGCAGCATACATCTCCCAGCTACTTGAGAGGCTGAGGCAAGAGGACTGCATGTTCCAGGCCAGCCTGGGCAACTCAATGAGACCCTGCCTCAAAATAAAATTTGGTCTTGGGGATGTAGCTCAGTAATGGAGCACCCCTGGGCTCATTTCCCAGTAACTTGGGGAGACAGAAAGGGAGGAGGGAAGTCTCCTGTCCAGGAGGACAAAAATAATGCCAGTAGCTGGCATACACAGAGTGGCGGTTTTTGTGCCACGCCCTGTGCTAAGGGTCTATATGGAACTTCTCATTGGCTCCTTACAGCAGTACCCCAAGGCAGGAACTTTAACCTTCTCCTCTTTTTTTTTTTTTTTTTTTGAGACAGGGTCTCACTTGTAGTTCAAACTGGCCTTGAACTCACTGTGTAGCCCAGACTGGGGATTCTACTGCCTCAGCCTCCAGAGTGCTGGGATTACAGGCATGCACCACCATTCCCAGCATAATCTTCTGCTCTTGTAACCCACGAGAACAAGGCCAGGGAGGGTCAGGACATTGCTGCCAATGGGCAATAGGCCTCCTGTAAGGCTGGCCTCCAAGGAACTATCCGGGAAACAATTGTGCCAATGCCTCCTAAGCAGGGGGGTAGTGCTATAGGCCTTCCTGAGTTTGGGCCTGCCCACGCCCTCGAAAGCTTCCTCACAGCCCCCTCATTCCTCCTCAGAGCTACACTCCCACAGTGTTTGAACGGCATGCTGTCAAAATGCACGTAAAGGGCAAACCTCTGCACCTCCAAATCTGGGACACAGCAGGTGAGTGTGGGGGGATGGTGGGATGGGCAAGGTGGAGGAGGCCCAGCCCCACTTCTTCTGAGCCGGGGAGGAGGCCAGGATTGGGGTCCCCTGGGAACCTGAGCCCTCCAAGTTCTGCACCTATGTCTGCCTACCTCCCCACACCGGAGCAGCCCCCAAGCCTTGGAGCCCTGGAGTTTTAAGGGCCTCCCAAGCTTTCCACACTGGCTTTAGCTTCTCTAAGACCTGCCTGCCTGTGATCTCTGCCCTCTAACCTCCTGACCCTGCCCACGCAAGAGTTAGCCCAAAGCTAAAGTCGGAGAGTCCTCGTGCCTCCATGCTGCCTCTGGCCTGGCCACTGCCTCGCCTCTGCTCCTTCCAGAACAGGACTTCTCAGCAAAGAGCCATCCCAGGCCAGGGCTGGCACATCCCATGGACAGCCCACATTAGCACCACTCCAAGGGGACACTGACACAAGGCTCAAAACTAGGCCCCACCAGAAGCCTCTATCTGTTGGAGTGAGTTCCCTGATATTAGGGAGATGCAGACGGCAGACAGGAGATACGGAGAGCGTGACCACACACTCTGCCCAGGGCAAGATGACTATGACCGCCTGCGGCCTCTGTTCTACCCCGATGCCAGCGTCCTGCTCCTCTGCTTCGACGTCACCAGCCCCAACAGCTTTGAAAACGTCTTCAACAGGGTAGGTACTGGGGCGCAGAGGGGCACGGCCCCCAGAGCCAGGCCACTTTGCTCCCTACCCTTGACCCAGCCAACTGTCAGAGTTTTCCAGGCCTTAAATGACATGGAGCCTAGTGTCCGTTGCACATATCTGAGGAAAGTGAGGCTCAGAGGGGGCAGTGACTTGCCCAAGGTCACACAGGAATTTGGTGGCAGGTTCCGCTTTCTAAGTCCCAGTCCAGTGCTGACAGAACACTGTGGCTCCGTGCCATGGGGACTGTGCCCATGTGGTGACCCAGAGTCCCCCATATTTCCCTGGCCTGTGGCTGCCCAAGGTTGCTTGAGGCATAGAGTCAGATTCCAGCAGCTGTCAGCAGCCCCCCTCCCATCCACTCCACTGCTGGCTGTCAGTGGCCTCCAAGATGCTCCCAGTGATGTGGGGTCCCTGCGGCTTCTCACAGCCATCAAGGGTGCCACAGCCTGAGTTCCTCTGCCCAGGCTATGGCACAGGCCTCCCTCAGTGCTTCCAGGCCCTCTGTAAAGATGATACACTCTAAGATTCCTCAGAACATAGCCAGAGTCAATGTCAGTAATAACTAGGATGGCTGCAGCAACAGTTATTAAGAACTCACTATAGGGGCTAGGAGTTTAGCTCAGCGGCACAGCGCCTACCTGGCAAGTGCAAGGTCGTGAGTTTGATTCCCAGTACCAGAAATATCCCCCCACCCCCAAAAAAAAGAACTCACTATGAAGCCGGGCATGGTGGTGCACACCTGTAATCCCAGCACTTGGGGGACTGAGGCAGGAGGATCACTGTGAGTTTGAGGTCAGCCTGGGGTACAAAGTGAGTTCAAGGTCAGACTGAATTGTACAACCAAACCCTATCTCAAAAAAACAAAAATACATACATACATACATAAGAACTCCCTATGGGCCAGTCATGGTGCCACATGCCTATAATCCCAGCATTCTGGGAGGCTGAGGCAGGAGGATGGCAAATTCAAACCCAGCCTGGGTAACTTAGTGACTTACTGAGATACTGTCTCAAAAGAAAAAGATTTTTGGGGATGTAGCTCAGTGCAAAGGCCATGGGTTCAACCCCCCATACTAGGGAAAAAGAAATACTTACTATGTGCCAGGCACTGTACCAGACACTTTTTTTTTTTGCTCATTTAATCTCCCTAACAACCTGGTGGTATAGATACTATTATTATTCCCAGATTGAGTTACTTATCCAAAGGTACCAGTCTGTTAAAGTGGCAACTCTGGGATTTGAACCCAGACAGTCCAGCAGATGCATCTGTTCAGAGCCACTGAATGAGCACTTCTCTGAGCCAGGCGCTGTTCTGGGCTTGGGGTCCAAGAGGAACAGTGCCTGGGACCAGGATGGCAACAGTGGTGGCAGTAAGAGGGAGTAGATTCTGAATCCACTGGGAGGCCAGAGCCATCAGGTTTTGCTGATGAGATGGATGTGGGTATGAGGAAGAAGTTGGGGCCAGACAGCGGGCAGGCAGAGTGGCCCTTTCCTGGGACAAGGAAGAGCAGGCTGAGGGTGGGGAGGGGGTGGCAGTGGGAGGCCTGGCCCCAGTGGAGATGTCACCCTGGTACCTGTGTCCAGCAGGCCAGCATAGGCTGAAGCCTGTGGCTCCTGGGGAGGGCAAGCCAAGCTGGGGAGGCCACTGAGAAGCTACCAGTCAGGGGGCTGGGGGTTTAGCTCAGTGGCACAGCACCTGCCTGGCAAGCACAAGGTCATGAGTTCGATTCCCTGTACTGGAAAAAACCTCCCCCCCAAAAAAAGAGAAGCTACCAGTCAGGCCTGTCCCTGTCAGGGGCTGGGGGCTCCCTGGGAATGAGAGTGGCTAGTGGAGAGGGGAGACCCAAGCCCTCGGAGAGGAGGAGGAGAGGGGAGACCCAAGCCCTGGGAGAAGAGGAGGAGAAGGCTGATAAGACCCTGGAGCCAGGAGAGGGGGGTCCTGGCACCTCGAAGCCCTGGCTATGGAGGCACAGGAGGGCAGATCCTGGTGTTAAGGCTGTCATGGGCTCAGGTGGGGAGCCTGCTGAGAACTCCCTGTTGTATTTAATTGGCATTACCCAGGAGCTTTGCAAGGGCAGCTGTCATGCATGGGTGGGAGTGTGGGGAGCCTGCCCAGCACCCAGCCCAGGCCCCATGTGGCTTTAGGAACTGGACAGCATGGGCAGCTTTTCCTGAACAGGCACGCTCAGCTGCCTGTGCTCCTGGAGATGGAAAGCTCCTTCGGGGTCCCTGGTGCCCCAGCTGTGGTCCAGGCTAAAATAACCCAGCCCTGGGGGCCGCCATTCCACAGAGCTATGACATGCAGTAAGGGCCCTCCCTCCTGCCAGTGAACAGTTAAGGCAGACAGCAGCTGCTGCAACCATTTTGTAAGCTGACTTATTTTTAAATAAGTATGTATTTGGCCCTGTTTGGGAGGCAACAGGGAGAGTTTTACCTTGTAGAGAGTAGGGGGAAGCAGGGCTTTGGGCCCCACCAGCTGGGCTCAACTCCTACCATTCCCAGTTGTGTGACAAGCCCAAGTTACCTAGCCTCTCTCAGTGCCTCAGTGACCACATCTGTACAGTGGGCTGGATTAGAAAATTGCTATTAGGACCCTGGAGTTAGTGAGTTCACACTTGAAAATTCTTAGATCAGAGCCTGGCCCCGAGCGCTTGCTCCCTAGGGGAGGAGGAGAACGGTCCTCTGAGATGGACAGGACTCCGGTGGCTCATGCGCAAACCTCGCCTCTGCAGTGGTACCCAGAGGTGACTCACTTCTGCAAGAGAGTGCCGATCATTGTTGTGGGCTGCAAGACCGACCTGCGCAAGGACAAGACGCTGGTGAACAAGCTGAGGAAAAACGGGCTGGAGCCAGTAACCTACCACAGGGTAGGAAGCCGGTAGAGGGAGCGGGCACCTCCAGACATTCAGGGGTCTTGGAGGCTGTCGGAGATCAGGAGCTGCCAGTACTTGGAAATGGCACTGCCAAGACCAGGAATTGTGCACAGCTGAGTTAGTCTCACCACATCCCTGCAGTGATTCAGTCTGCAGGCTTCTCTGCTGTGTACTGGGGTTAGCTGCATGTGAATTAGTCGGTCTCTTGAGGGGCAGAGACCTGGCAGGCACTGGGAGGTAGAAAACAACATAATGCTTAAGAACATTTAATCAAGCCAGGGTGCAGGAGCTGAGGGTACCCTAGAAAACCACCACCTCAGCAGGGCATGGTGGGCCACACCTCTATTGCCAGCAGTCTGGGAGGCTGAAGCAGGAAGATCCCAAGTTCAAGTCCCCCCCTAGGCAACTTAATGAGGCCCTGTCTTTAAAGGGGGATCGGTGGTGAGAATAAAGTACAGCGGTAGAGCACGCCCTGGATTTGATGGGGGTGGAGGGCACTCCACTGTTGCCCTGGAGACTCTCAAGAAGAGAGGGCTAGTAAGGGCTTGGAGGGCACACATGAGGCCCGCCTGGCGTCCCCAGCTCACAGCATCCCATGTACCTCTCTTTGGCAGGGCCAGGAGATGGCAAGGTCCGTGGGCGCAGTGGCCTACCTCGAGTGTTCTGCGCGGCTCCATGACAACGTCCACGCTGTCTTCCAGGAGGCAGTCGAAGTGGCTCTCAGCAGCCGCAGTCGCAACTTCTGGCGGAGGATTACCCAGAGCTTCTGCGTGGTAACCTGATTGCCCCAGCTGCTCCGAAAGGAGCTGGGCACTGACCTGCTGTCGAGGTACCTGGGCTGGACCCAGTTCCTAGGCTGGACCAACGAAACTGCGCCTCCACAGACGGACACCACCAGGGCCGGGCGCGGGGCCTGGGAACCCTGGATTAAGTGAGGAAGAGGGTTCCCCAGCCCTGGCTCCCGGCCAGCATCCAGTCCTGGACCCACTTCCTGGAGTGGTTGTGCAGCCTGATCTGGCGCCACCTCGTGGGTGTTGGCAGGGCTGCAGCTGAAGGTCCTGACTCCCTTCCAGAACCCGCACCCCGCCCCTCCCTTGTTTGCTCTACTACACCAGGAGCAAGTGTAACAACGAAAATGACATCATTGTGTCCAGCCTCTTCTTTCAAAGATCTTTATGCACATTCCAAGGTGGGTAGGCGGCACTACAGGAGACCCACTTGGAACCAAACTTGGTTTTATCACTTCCAGGCCTGGGAAAGTTCCTCATCTATAAAGTGGGACAAATCAGACTTTGTCATAGAGCTTTGGGAGGAGTAACAGGATCATGAGTCCAACACAGGTAAAGAGCTTAGCAGGTGTGTCACATAAAAGATATACATCCTTGCTTTTATTTATTTATCTAGTGTATTAGTCAAGCTTCTCCAGGGAAACAAAACACACACACACACACACACACACACACACACACACACACACACACACACGGACCTTTAGGGTAGGCTTGAAATGCAGGTGAGTTGGTGTTACTGTCTTGAGTTCAAATTCCACACAATACCTGGCTGGACACTTGGGTTGCTGACATGAGGCAGAAGTCCTCCAGAAAACCTCAGTCTCTTTGAGGCCCTTCAACTGGACATGGCCCACCCACACTATGGAGGTTCATCTACTTAAAGTTTTTTTTTTTTTTTAATGTTAATCACATCTAAAAAATACTGCCATGTCTGTAACTACTACTCCGGAAGCTGAGGCAGAGGCTCACCTCATGCTAGGAGCTTAAGGCCAACTTGGGGAATATAGGCAGGCCCTAACTCATAGGAAAATAATTAAATAAAGTAACACCTTCACTGTAACATCTAGACACCATAACCTTGCCAAATTGGGGCATAAAATTAGTCATCACATCAGTCATGCTGGTGCACACCTGTAATCCTAGCACTTGGGAGGCTGAGGCAGGAGGATCACCAAGAGTTTGAGGCCAGCCTAAGCTACACAGTGAGTTCAAGCAAGCCTCTGTCTCAAAAACCAAAATAAACTTAGTCACCATACCTATTTCCTCTACTGAACCTCACACTTAATATTCATAGCACTTAAAAAATATTTATAACACCTAATTCATAACAGTAAGAGGTAAGAGACAAGTAGAATTTATTCCTCCCATTTACCAGCTGAGAAGATTGAGTTCCTGCCTGCAACTAGCCCATCATTATATCCACCTTCTTGTTCATACTCTCAGCCCCTTGCAGACAGGGTCCCTGTGTGATATCTCAAGCTCCTGTCAATAGCGTCAGTTCATCAGAGAGCACCTTACACACCAGGCTGTTGGAGAGTAGATTGCAGAGGGCTGGGCTCTCTTACAGAAGAAGCCTCAGCCAGCACCTGGGCTTCCTCCTATCTTGAAAGCATCTTGCCCTGCAACATCAGACACACCCTCCCACAAAACTGCTCCATTCAATTCATCCCACATTTCCCAAGCTGCCCCTCTATGCTGGACACTGCAGTAGGCGCCTGACCCCCGTTCCCTCACTTCACTTGCACTGCGACCCTGTAGAATGGGCGTGATTATTGCCATCTGTCAGATGGGATAAGGAGGGTAACTCAGGTACAAACCACATAGCTATGGCAATGGTGGGGCTGAGATTTGAACAGACTACTAACATTAGGGACAGAGCCTTCTGCAGTGCCAACAGGGTAAGCCATATGCTTATCTGGGGGCTGGGGACAAAGAGACAAAGGAGACAAAGATCCTGACCATGCAAGAAGACAAGGCTGGAGATGTAGCTCAGTGATAGGGTGCTCGCCTAGCACGTAAGGCTCTGGCTTCTATTCCCGGCGCCAGAAAAAAAAGGAGGGGGAGGAGGAGGAGGAAGAAGAAGAAGAAGGAGAAGAAGGAGGAGAGAAAGAAGCTCACAAAAGAGGAAAAGGCTATGCACAGGTAGAAATATCTTGCGCCCAGATTTTCAGTTGGGTGCGGTGGTGCACACCTGTTATCTCAGCACTTGGGAATGCTAAGGTAGGTGTCTCTCTACAAGTTTGAGGCCAGCCTGGGCTGCAAAGTGAGTTCAAGACCAGACTGAGCTATGTGGCAAGACTGTCTCAAAAAACAAAGCAACAACAATAAAAAAAGACTCCTGTGGGAAACTGATGCATAGAAGAATCATATTGGGGTGAACACTTGCTTAGCATGCACAAGGGCCTGAGTTCCACCCCTAGAACTGCTAAAGAAAAGGAAAAAAGAAAAAGGAAGTAAGGAAGAAAAGAGAAAGGCAGGCAGACATCATAAGAGAATACCTATTAAGGGGTCTAAGCACGCACGTTTTGGGAGATTAGCTGTCTGAGCTAGGTTAGCTTACCAGGCTTGGGAAGAACATTCTGAGCAATTATGCTGGAAATACAGGCCAGCAAAAGTTATTTCTCACTCTCAAGAAGCCTGGACTAAAATCCCTAAGAGGAGCCTGGCATCCAGGTGGCACTTCCATGTGGGCTCTGACACCATTTCCCTGCTGAAGCTCAGCCCTGTGACCCAAGCTGTGTGCCCTGCCCTGGCTGATGTAGTCCCCCACCTGGAGTTGTTTCAGACAAAGCTTTATGCCAGGTGATAGTGGCTGGCTCTTCTTAAGTATTGTGAGGGTCACCCCGAAAGAAATGGTCCACCTCAGGTGCAAGGAATAATGTGATGTTCGCTGTGTGCTGCAGCTCAGGGCTCAGCAGTGCTGTGGGAATATATGTCTGGCTTTGGTCAGATGGGACTTAGCAAGAGTTTTCATGAAGTTCACCTGGGCAGAGTACAGTTTAGTGTAAATTTTTGGCTGCTATCGAATGGGTTGGTTTGGATTGAGCCCACAGGCATGACGGTCGTGGCCGCCCACCTTAAGGCTGAGACAGGTGAGTGGGCAGCAGGGCGAAGGCTCAGATCACATCACAGTCAGGGTCCCCCCAGGGTCTCTTTTAGGAAATGACCCTCCCTTGAACCCCTGCAGGATTCTAAGTACCATATGGGAGACTAGATCATGGAGTGGAGTTTCTTACAGAATCAGTTTTTTACTGTATTTGTTTTGCAGTCCTGGACACTGAGCCCAGAGCCTTTGCATTGAGTTATATCCCCAGCCCTTTTTTAACTTATTATTTTGAGACAAGGTCTCGCTAAGTCACCTACACTGGGCTTGAACTTTCTCATCCTCCTGCCTCAGGCTCCCAGGGTGCTGGGACTGTAGGCAAACACCACTGCGCTCAGCTTACAATTCACTTTAATGAGTTCCCGCTTGCTTACCACAGCCAAATGCCAGGCCCCGTGCTCGGTCATTACCCACAGAGCACCCCATCTCATGCTTAGAGGTCCAGTGAGATCCCACACAGTACCCACCTCACACATAAGGTGACAGAAGCACAGAGAGCTACGTAAATAAACTACTCCTGACCTCAACAAGTGGAAGGGCTGGGATTTAAGTCCAGGACTGTCCAATGCCAGGATGTGGCTTACAAGCCCCCTCACCTGGCCCCCCCAATCCGGGGCCCTGGCTGTATATCGGGAGTTCATGCCCTGGGAGATGAGAAAGCCAGAACTGTGAGGTACCGGAAGAGTCTCCACCTCTCACCTCCAGCTGCCCACCACCCTCGTCACAGCTGTTTTGGAGGCAGCAGGCAAGAGTCTTGTAGACTGGGTGGCTCATCCCCGGCATCACCCAGTCGGGAAAGTCAGCTGCCCGGGTCAGAACACGCAGCAGGCTGGTGGTGCCCAAGGAACCCAGCAGAAGGGGCACAGACTAGAATTTGTTGTTTTCTTCCCAAGCACCAAGCACATGACCGCTGAGGCTTCTCGTTGGACCCATTTCAGAGAACAAAACAAGGTGGAGAAGAGCAGTGACCTAGTTCAATGGGGACTGTCCTCGTACTTCACTGAGGACACATGCTGCGAGGTCAAAGTCAGGGAGGGTACAGTGACTCTGCAGCTCTCTGTGGGAAGAGGGGAATCAGGATAAGGTCAGCAGGCTGGAGAACCCAGTGGTGTGCAGAGGTGGAGAGGGACTGCTGGGGTCCCCCTGGCTCAGAAGAGGTCCCTGCAGAGGAGCAGTGGGAGGTAGAGGATACCCTCGGAGCCCCTGTCCTTGCCCTTGCAGCTTCTTTACTTTCTTCCAGAGTCCATCACCCTTTGCAATGATCTTGTCTCTCCACTGGCAAGCCAGCGAAGAGCACAAACTGGCTTATTGGTTTTTGTTTTTTCTGTGCTGGGGATTGAACACAGGCTTCTTTTGAACACATAATGAGCTACATCATCCCTAGCACACCTCTCCTTTCTTGGAGACAGGCTCTTTCTACATTGCCCAGGTTGGGCCCAAACTTGCAATCCTCCTGCCTCAGCCACCCAGACTGCTAGAATTATAGGCATGCGCCACCACACCCTATATGCACTGGGTTATTTGGAATTCCTGATACTTCAAGGGTCCAGGGCCTCAAAATCCTGTCTGCTTACTAATGCCTAGTAATAGCAAGCACTCAATAAATACACAATCAGCGAAGGAATAAATGCAGTTTACTTTATTTACTTTACAGTGGGGCCCTTGGCCCCATTTGGCCTGGATCATCTGGAGTCTCGCAACCTCCAGGCTCCCAGCACCTTTCATCCTCACCACTTCCAGAAGACCCACCTTAGAGCTGGGCATGGTGGCACATGCCTGTAATCCCAGCACTCAGGAGGCTGAGGCAGGAGGACTGTTGCAAGATCGAGACCAGCCTGGGATACAGAGTGAGCTCAAGGCCAGCCTGAACTGCATAGAGAGACCCTGTCTCAAGAAAAGAGACAAAATTAAAAAAAAAAAAGACAGAAGACCCACCTTTCAGAGCAGCAGTTCTGTCACCAGACCAGGCTGCACAAAAGTCTTCCAAGGCCCCTCTGCCCAGAGAAGGTCCAGAGTCCCCAGAGGTGGCCCAGGCCCACTTCCCTCTGGGCCTTATTCGCAAGACAGCTCACTGTAGCCGCTCCTGCAGACTCAAGGGCCACACCCAGGGGACACTGACCTCTGGCCGTTGTCCAAGCTGCTTTGCCACCTCAGCATGCCCTTCCTCCCAGGCACTGCCTGCCACACTCCCTCCACCCCTGAATCCTTCAGCGGCCACCTCAGAGCCATCTTTCCCCAAAAGCCAGGTGAC